GCCTAACTTTACTCAAGAAGTTCTGGTCCATAATTTTTCTACTCATGCAAGGATATATACAAGATTAATACTATGATATTTACATACTTAATGATGTTCTGAATGAAAATATGCCAAGTCAGAAAGACTTACCTTGAATCTGGAGCGTGTGCTTTGAATTTGAGTTGCTGCCTTCAGATGTTCTGGAGTCAGCGAGAGAAATGGAACAATGGTTATGTTCCTTGATTCAAAGGGAAGAACAAATGTTTTATTTAAGATTTGCGAAGATTTTCACTATTTCCTTTTCTCTTTGATAATTCTCTCTCTCTCTCTCTCTCTCTCTCTCTCTCTCTCTCTCTCTCTCTCTCTCTCTCTCTCTCTCTCTCTCTCTCTCTCTCTCTCTCTCTCTCTCTCTCTCTCTCTCTCTCTCTCTCTCTCCAAAAGCCAGCCCCTTGAATGTGTGATGGAGCAACTTATTTATAGATGGGGTTGTTGTGGTTTTAGGGGGAAAAACAAATGGGATTTTTAACCTTTTTGGCATATTGTTCCATTGCTTTTTAAACACAGTTTTTGCATGCTAATTTGGTGCAATTACGGGGTTTGAGAAAAACGCAGGCGTGGACTGGATCAACAACACCTTGGAGCATTGTGGCAGCTGGTGACAGGACTGTACTACAGCAGTGCAGCAGGTTGCTCAAATGAGGTTTTGGGATTTGATGTTGTTCTGATTGCAGAAGACCAAAGTGAGATTCAAAGAGTGAGGCTCTGATCGAAGCATAGAACCTAGCCTCCATATGCTGAAGAGTCACATTCTGAACCATATTTGCAAATTCTGATTGCACTTGCGTGAAGGCTGGCCCAAAAGTTCTGAAGTATCATATTCTCTTAACACTTAGAAAATTTTCTAAATGTTTAGAAATTTGATTTTTCAAAGTAATTTCTGAATTCTGATTTTTGATGAAGCAATTTCATATCTTGATGAAATATAATTGTTAAAACTGTATTTTTAATCTAAAAGTCAGAGTTTGACTTTTCAGTATGCTTTTGACCATTTTGCCCTTGTGAATGATTTTCTTGGAAAATTGTAATTCAAGACTTGAAACTTGATAGAAGCAAACCTAAGGGTCCAAGATGGTCCTTTGAGAGATGAGAGAGTAGATTTTGGGGTACAATAATACCAATTTGACGATCCAAGCTTTAACTTGCTGCACACAAAATGAATAGTAAACTACAAAAACCATAACAAAATAAAATTACAGTCAATCAAATAAATTTCGATACTATTTCCTTTGCAAGTCTAAATCACATTATCCGACACTCCTTTACAATGTATCATATGAAATTCTACATTATAATCATCGATGAATTAAAGAACATATGATTAGATATTTCATTTGCTTAAATAAATATATTGGTAGTCTAGGATAACTTATTAAACACTTTGAAAATGGCGTGGATCCTTTAAGACTTAATGCCTTAAACTTCTTATCTGGAGATGATGAATAGTATTTAAAAATATCACACAATACAACTGCATAATTCCTACAGTCCTAACATTCTAAAAAGTTTCCCACAAGGTTGAATTTCGAAGATAATTGGTTAGTGAATGATGAAATCAATTCATAATTTCTCTAAAGTTTCTTGATAAAGATTGGTTTGGTTTGATATTTTTTGTTGGTTTTAAAAATAGAAACATTCAATGATTTATCAAGAGTTTTATCTTAATAATGATCATCACTCATGATTCACAAGTGTCTTTGACTAACAATGTCAACAACCTTTTTTAGAGAGATTAAAAGGGTTTAATGTTGAAGGTAAGACACAAATAGAAGGAAGCGAACAATGAGATTAAGTCAAAGTTAATGAAGTGAAAAAGTTTGTTAATAATGATTTGAATCAAGTAAGGATATGTGATTCGATTCAAATAAAGTGTTATTTGAATAACACTTGGTTTGGATGACTTTGATTCAAATCACCAAACATATGATTCAAGTTAGGAAGCTTTTTGATTAAAATCACAACCTTCTCTAATTCGAATAAGGCTGATAGAGTTAAATCTTTCACTTCCAAGTATGTTCATAACTCGAATCAAAACATGTCTAATTCGAATAAAATTTTTTTCTTTCTTTCAACTACCACATTTTCCAACTGTGGTGTTTATCTATACTACATCCTTCTTCCCTTTCTCTGCAGATTTCTTCTTCTTCTTCTTCTTCTCATTCACAACTCTAGACCTTTTTATGGAACTTATTTTCTTGTTTGACACAACAATCTTTTTGGTTGTGGTGGATTTATTACTTTCGTTTTTGGGTATAAAAACAAACACATTATTCACATTTGACCTCTTAGAATTTTTGGAATTCTTTTGAGTAGTTACAACTTCTTCAATAACATGGTTATCTTATTCAACGTCATTAAGGACACTGTCATTGTTGTTGATATTAGGACTAGCATCGTCATGATCATCTTTGCTCACAAATTCTCCAAAATCAAATGTAACTTCAGGAATATCATTGACATTCTTCTCAATATTATTATGATCCCTTACATATGTAGAATTAACTTCCATAATCTTTTCAACATTGTCATTAACATAACCAGTGTCATCCTTACTAGCTGTCACATCATTCTACTCGATGGCACCAGTAATGTCAATAACATCTTTACTCACATCTTCACGAGTACCTTCCTCGGTCCCTTAGTTTCTTTTGCTCCTATTCCTCACTACTTTAAGCACTATCATCACCAACAATTTCCTCATACACACTTTTCTCATTTCTAGGAGTTTCTTCTTCATTGTTACTAACATCTTTAATGATATATTCACCATCATTTTGTCTGGCTTCTAAATTATCCTCACTAGAAATTTCATCATCAATAACAGTATTAAATATGTTCCTTTTGACATTATGAATAACACTTTCACAAATTATTTTAGGGCCAACCTCAATAGGGGTTTCACGTAGAGGTTTGCTTGAACCTGTTTTATCACTAAGGAGTTTTTCAATGATATTTTCACTTGCTTAGTTGTCACAAACATTTAGGGCTTCTAAGGTTTGGTTTATGTTATCAGACTCTTCGTTTCCCGTTTTACTTGTCTCAACATGAGGTTCGTAACTACATGAACATTTTTAGGAGCAGGTAGATTAAACGACTTAAAAGGTTTAAATGTTTTACCTTTATCACTGTTGGGTGAACAACTATGAGAGAATTAACTTCTAATGGAAGACCAATTTGATGACTTTTGACTTTAGCTTGAGGGTGAATATATTATTCATTGTCTTTGCTCTTCTTTGTTGTTACGACGATTGTTGGTCATGTACTCGTTAGGTCAGACATCGTAAGCGAAACACAATCAACTACCTTTAGCTTTTTTGTCTTGAATTCTTAAGGTTGTTCAAGAAGATTGCCTCAAGTCTTAATTACTTTAGACATATATTTATAACATGTTTTAACATATCAAAAACCACATATACCTTTATGATTCTCCTTAGATTCTGTCCACCTAACCCTAAGGGATCGTGTCAAATAACGTTTTTTAATGATCTCTCATGACATGTATATCACACCCACGTGTCGAGCATATGATCATCTCACCACCTTTCACATTAAAATCTCTTACGTGTCCCCATGATTACAAGAAGTTGTGTCAAATTTGTTGTGATATACGAGCCTTGGGATATAATACTTATAATTGTCCATATGTAGTTTCTGATTACAATCGTCTTTGACAATTTGTTAAAACCAAAAAAACTCAGTGACACAACACATATGAAGTATAAAAATTATAACTTTAAAAACACATCCATGCACTAAATCAACATTGAGACATAAAAAATTCTTTAATCAATATACATAGGACTAGGGGTGTTCGCGGTGCGGTTTGGGCGGTTTTGAAGCAAAAAATCACCCGAACCGCAAGAGAAAAAAACATGCGGTTCGGTTTGGTTCGGTTGACTTTTAAAAATAAATCCGAACCAAACCAAACCAAAGTAATGCGGTTTGGATTGGTTCGGTTTTTTACAAAAAAAATTATTAAGTCATACAAACAAATATAGAGGAAAATATAATTTTGTATTTAATTGTTCGTACATTACCATAAAAAAATTTATAATTGTCAAAATAAGTTTATAATTTGATACATAAAATTGCGTATTATAATTTTATCTAAATCTAAAGAATGATATAAACAAGATTGCATTCTTAAATAAATATTATACAAAGAATACGATAAAATATATTTTGTGAAAATAATATTTATAAATGAATAATATTTTATTTTTATGATTTGTAAATTAAAATGAATATAATACAAAGTATGATAAAATATACACATAATACATGTTTATTTCTCTAAAGAATTAAAGAAATATATATTGGTTAGTAAGATTTTATAACATAATACGGTTTGGTTTGGTTTGGTTCGGTTTGTAAAATACAAACCGCAAACCGAACCGAACCGTGCGGTTCCGCGAGAAAATGACCCAAACACATCCGAACCAAATGCGATTTTTTGCGGTTTCGATTTGGTTCGGTTCGGTTTTGCGGTTTTCTATTGGACCGATTTGGTTTTGAACACCCCTACATACGACACCATTTGAAAAAAGAGAGATACTTAAAACATTAACAGATAAACTAATCGATTTCGTACTCTCGAGTTAGGAACACATTTAAAAAGAAAGATGACAAATTTCATCAATTTTTTTTTCAAATAAGGGTTTTTAGATAAAAAACAAATACAAATTTATTTTAAGGTTATTATTGTCTTTTTGAGATGTAACTTCATTTTTTTTTGACAATTATAATATTTAATAAGCAAAATAATAATAATAATAATAATAATAATAATAATTATAATAATAATAATATCAAAACATGGACGAACCAAAATGAAAAAGAAAATTGGGATTATCACGAGACACTATTTTCCCGCCAACAAAGCCCTTGTTCCCGCCACAGATACATTGTATATAGAAGAGTGCGCCAAATCTCAAACATAGGTCAAGAGCGCAGCAGCAGCCATGGAGGTGATTCAAAAATCTCGAAAACGCAACCACACATCTCCACCCCCCTCATCCACATTCACCCGCAGCAAAGCCCATAGTCTCTTACACCGGAGCCGCTCCGGTCAGATCCGCCACGATCCCATCCGGAGTAAGGCGGAACCACATCCCGTTCCAGTTCCGGTTCCATCACAAGAGGAACTCTATCACGTTCCCGTTCATTTTGCTGGAAACAATGCATCGGAAAAAATTTCCGAATCGGAGTACAAATCTCTCGTTCAGGATATTTGTAAGGAATGTTGCGAATCGGATTCGGAAGACAAAGATCTCGTTAAGGATCTTTGCAAGAAAGCGAAGGTTGACGACGGGGACCTAGCTTGTGCTACGGCGAAGGATCTTCGCACGAGGCGAGTTTATTCGTTTTTGTCTAGTGCTGGTGTTTGCTCCGATCGGATCGGAAGCGCGTTGTCCAATGAAAGTACCGTTGATTCGGATCGGGAAGCAGCTGAGTTAGGGTTTGAATCACCGTTCGCTGATAACGGCGATGGAAGGATCTCACTGACTGAGGTACCTGTTTTAGGGCTTTCATGTATACCTCGGGATTTCAACCGGGGAACCACTGAATCGTCCTATGAAAGTCCGAAATTGAAAGTTAAAAAGCAAATTGATGAAAAAAATGATGACTATTGTTTGGAGAAAAATGATGATTTGGGTGAAGAACCAGTACAAACGACTCCACCTGATGCTGTTATAAGTATTAATTTGGAAGTTAAGGGAGATGCGAGGAAAACTGAAGAGGGTTTTTCTGGTACCAAAGATTGCCACCAGTTTAATAGTCATGCTGTCAAGAGCAAATCTGTAAGTGCCTGTAATGCTTTCAAGTTATTTTCCTCGTATCCTATTAGTTAAACATTTTTGTTAAAAATACTTTTTGCTCTGATTTTTTTTGTCTATGGTAATACCACTTGTGCTGTTGGTTGATGGGATTCTTGATGTAGGTACTCAAACCACGATTACCTGGGAAATTGTTCAAAGCACCAGGTTCAGTTAACTACAGAAGGCTAATGGAGATTATGGGAGATGATTTCGGTAATTGTTTTATGCAGAGAATCATTTATTATTTATTGATGGCATAATTGTAGTTCATGATTTAGCTTGATATGCGTGATGAAGTAATTTTGCTTTAGATGTAATTATGAAAATTGTTTCTTGTAGAAAATCGTTTATTATTTATAGATTGAACATTGTAGAATGTAGACGATCATTTAGTCTGTTATGTGCATTGGAACTAATTGGCTATTTTATAGGTATGCCGAATTCAGGCCATTGCTTCAAAGATAAGAAGGTTATGGATGCACAGGGGTTTGAATTTCCCTTGTCATCTGATAATCACGAAGTTTCTAAACCTGAAACTAATGGCACCGTGCTTGATACTAATGGCCCAAAACTTACACCTTTACCAATGCAATTAGATATTGCAAAAGTGAATGGTGAGTGTTTATATGGGCCATCCATGGTTGACGAATGTGTGAGTGATTCAAAGGTGGATCCAGTTGCAGGTTTTCTTGGTGCTAGAGATTCTATACCAACAACCCACAATGCTGAGATATATGATACTTCAGTGCTCAATGTAGACCAAACAGAGAGCATGGTGAAGGTTGTCTGCCCCAAAGCTGACAAGAGGAATGAACCTCTTAAGAGTAAACATGTAAGAATCTGGCATGTGTTCAAATCTTTATTTTCTACCAATTATAGGGTAGACATTTTGGTTCTGGTCTCTTGACGGTGTGTTGAGATGTTTAAACTTTGAATTTTGTAGTATTGAACTTTCTAATACCTTCTATATTTACTTTTGATAATACATATTTAAGCATGGTTTTACTTTTGTTGGTAACTTAGATATACCATGTTACCTTGGATGTCTTTGCAGGTGCATATACCTTATTTGCACGGGAAGCTGATAAAAACTCCAGGTTCAGTCAATTATAGGAGGTTGCTTCCATTTATGAAGAATCTTACTAAAGAAGACTCTGGTAACCACTGTTTTCAGCAGCTTATGCAACAAATGTTACATACATTAGATTTTAGTTAGAAATGGATAATGAAGGTACTAGCTGTTTTTGTAGGAACATCAACATTTGGTGACAAGACACACGATGAAGCTTCTACTTACATCCAAATGACAGTCAATGGCCCAATGCAAGACAAAGTTGACTCTAATGCTTTGGCAAACACCATATTGGTTAGTCCTGCTAATATGATAACTCATGGCAACCTTCCAGAATTGACATCTTCCCAAGACTTGCCGATGCAGTTAGATGCAAAAGTAATAGTCCACGAGTGCTTACCTGAATCCAATGTTCAGGAACACTCTGAGAAGGCTGCAATAACTTCAAAAGATGAGTGCTTGAGTGAATCAAAGACTGATCCTTGTTCAGTAATGATGGATTTTCACTGTGCTAAGATTGTCGCTGGTGCTGCTAACCATGCTGGCTTTAATCAAGTGCCCACAACTACATCTGAACAATCCTTTAGTGAGTCACAACCCAAAGACCAAAATATGTTTAATATTAGTGATGATAAGCATCATTCAAGTGAAGAACAAGGATTCTCTATTGGTTTTGATAAAAGTATGGAGTTAGTGAATCTGGAGAAGTGGGAATCTAATAGCAGCTGTCCTCCTGAAGGCCAGAGTCTACATCAATTGGATCATAATATGCCAGATGTGGAGAACAAAATGAGCAGCCATGCAATTAGCAAAAATGATGATGATGTGGTTTTAAGTTGTGTCAGTTTCTCAAATGAAGAACCTAGGCCACCATCAGAGAAGGTTATCTCTGATAAACCAGAGTTACCAGACATTGCAGAGGGGAATGAAGCAAACACCCGTGCAATTAGGAAGTTTGATGATGCGGTGGTTTTTGGATGTGTCAACATCTCAAATGAAGAACCTAGGCCACCATCAGAGAAGGTTGTCTCTGATAAACCAGAGTTACCAAACATTGCAGCACATGGGGGTGACATAGCAGGAAGTCTACTGAATGGCCTGGTTTATGCCTCAAAGATGCCTTCAAAAGGAAGCAATAACAAAAGTGCTATTTCTGTTGGCGAGAGTGAAAATGGATCTGAACCCAAGACCACACTGGTAAGGACCTCAATGTTTTAATATTATCTCCAAAATTTTAAGTTTTTATCCCCTCATTATTATAATACTTTTTCCTGTGTTAATATTTTTTTTCTTAAAAATATATTTGATCAAGTCATTTGAACAGGTTTTAAATCGTTGTCCACGAACAAAGTTGTTCAAACATGCTGGGTCTTTAAACTACAAAAGATTGCTTCCAATTTTCTTGGAAACTGTGAAGTCTAATTCCTGTAAGTATCAGTTCTTATGTATTGAAAAATATGGTTTTGTTAAAGTTCAATTTCGGTTTTATAAACTGGCATCTGTTGTTTATAACTAAACTTACTACTTCTAGGTGCTTCAAATAATGAACATCATCCAAAAGTTCAGAAGCTGTTGGATCATACTCCAGCTGTTCCAATTTCAGATTCAAACCTGTTAGTAGATCCGGTAAGTGCTTCAAATGACTGTGTTCCTGTGGACGATAGTACATGCCATTCTGGTGCTCAGAAAGAAACAGACTTGCAAGCCTGTGACTTAAATAATGATAGTTCAAGCCCAAGATCTCAACTGCCAGATAAACAGATCGTATCAAATGGACTCGAAAAGCTGGAGATCCTAATCAGTTCACCAATTTCTGTTCACAGTGATTTACTGACCACACCTTTAAAGCCTATAATTAATGAAGTTATCACTAGAGAAGAACAGGCTACACCCTCCCTGTCTATTCAGCAAAAATCACCTGAAACATCTGGATTTTGTCAGAGCACGTCCGAACTGAAAGTCACATATCAACTTAGTGCCCCGACTGTTGGTTCCCAAAAAGGAATTTTGAGAAGAAACCCCAGAGGATGCAGAGGGCTTTGCACATGTTTAAACTGTGTTTCTTTTCGCCTTCATGCTGAAAGAGCATTTGAATTTTCTAGAAATCAGCTGCTTGATGCTGATGAGGTTGCTGAAGACCTTATGAAGGAACTATCCATTCTCAGAAACATTTTAGAAAGAAATATTGATGGTGTCAATGACACTCCTGTTTTTGATGGAAGCCAGGTGAGCACCACATGATCTTTCATTTTCTGTTGGATTGAGATTAACATGACATCCTTCATTTTCTAATATTTCTTCTATGATTATTTTGTCATTCTTAACATATACCTGTACCGAGCTATCCCTCTTTATATGCTAAATAGTGATAATGTAGCACAAAAATAAGAGGAAAACACTTGTGTGCTGCTGATTTCTTGAAAATTCAGACATTTTTTTAATCTGTATATTTTCAGGTGAAAGAAGCCTGCAGGAAAGCCTTTGAAACTGAACAATTGGCAAAAGATCGGCTTAGCCAGATGAATGACGATCTTAACATCCATTGCAGAACACCGGTATGTCCATAGTTATTCTCAAAATTAGTTTATCCAAGTAAACAATTAGTTTATTTAGCTTGTTTTGTGCAGAGTCTGCAGCCACCAAGTGTTAAATTTTCAGATCACGTTGAAGAAAAAGTGATTCAACCGGATGCATAAAAATGTCTGTTTGCATCTCTTACACTATCTATCACTCGAACAGACATTTGTTTCTAGGAGTGGAACAAGCTCAGCTTAATGTTGAGAAACCAAATACAAATACTGGAACTATGTTGGTACTTGATATTTCTAGCAGTAAGAGGAAAAAGTGGCGGGGAGAACAAGAACCTTGTAGAGATTTGTTTTAATTCCACTTTTTCTTGGGTGTGCTGTAGATACTTTTTTTTACAGACGAGTCAATATTTAATTTTCATATTCAAAGAAAATTGGACTTGTTTATGATTATCATACAAATATTGGTTCTGGATACTTGGATCTATTTAATGTTATTTTTCTTCCAAACTGTCCCTTGACACGTATGTATTTTCAAAAGTTACTTTTCATTTTCTATCTTCAAAATCTCCACTATCACTCGCAGATAATCACATATCTAATAATCTCATAAACCAAATATAATAGAAATTTGATTATCAGCGACTATGTTTGTTCTCCCGTTTGGGTTTCATATACATTCATTTAGTATGCTTGCTCAAATTGATGTTGTAAGTTCAACCAACACCTTTACAAAACATCCAACTACACCTGAAAATTGAAGCCTAAAGACACCTTGATAGAATACTCCTAAACTGCAACCACATGAACTACTACCCAATCAGAAGACCAGACCATATGAAACAACCAATATAACTCCAAATCAAATACGCTACACTGCTATTCAAACAACCACCTACTACAACCAACATATCTGCAAAAATGGAAAATGCATAATCATCCTGTGCAACTTCTGAAACAATCCAGTTGCATCTGCACTGTTGAGTTGCCAACAAACCTCTGAACTCGGTACACCTTACAACAACTCTCAATCTTGCATGATTGACAAAGCCACGATTCTACCACACCTGCAAAATCAGTCGACACTCATCTTGTAATTCAACACTGCCCAACCCAACCTAATGAAAATTACACCTCTGCAAGAACACAAGGCAGCCCTTGGATTCACACACCATTGAGCAATGTTGATTTTCAAGCATATGAATTTTATGCACAACCACCTCCATGAGTAATCTTTAACATCCTCAACCAACTTTTGTAAGTCTTTGTTTTGAAACAATTTGTTGTTCCTAGCTTTCCAAATGCCTCAAACACACACGAACCAAATTCTTATAAGTCTCTTTAAGAGAAAATAAGTTTGAATTCTCCCATTAACTAAATTCTTTTTTTTAAAGAAAATAAGTTTGAATTCTCCCATTAACTAAATTCTTTTTTTTAATAAGTAAATTCTTATTAGTCTCTTTAAGAGAAAATAAGCTTGAATTTTCTCCCATTAACCAAATCTTTTTTTTAATAAGCAATTTGTGTCTAGCAGAATTCGAATTTAAGACCTTAAGGAGAGCACACCCTCAAAACCCAAGCCTTCACCATTAGGCCACACGCATCCATTAACCAAATTCTAATTCACACACCATTTTCCACTACTTCGAGCCACTACTACTAGCTATCCCACTGAGAACCTCTATACTTCAGTATCGTTCAACAAAGCATTGAACCACAACTCACTCCTTTCCAATTTGACTTTTCGTTTTCATTTTCTTAAGAGAGCCATGTAGAAGATTTTCAAATTTCTAACTCCCCCTTTTATCTATAAATCTGATAGAAAAAGGTAATAGAGAAAGACTCCCGTTAAAAGAAAACCAGAGAAATGATCTTGTATTTCTTAACAAACTTGGAATACAAATGTCCTTTTATATAGGAAACCCAAACTTCGACAGTTGTAACAAACTTGACAACTGTAACAAATTTTGACAAATGTAACAAAGTTACAAACTTATCTCTAACAAGATCTCCACATATTCTTCCAATGGAACCAGTTTATTTTTCTCTCATTCTCACTCCCATCTTATAAGGATTGTTTGACAATAGATTCAAGCTTAGAGATAATAACCATCAATGCCTTGAAAAATGAGAGGAAATAGACTGAAAGCGTTGATATAACTGATTTTATTATCACCACTCGACCACCAACAAATAAATGACAACTCTTCCATCTAGATAGTCTTGACCTTAGAACTTCAATCCCCATCTGTCATGTTTCTAGTCTATTTGGATTAGCTTCGATTGGGAGACTGAGATATTTGAACGAGATTGAGCCCGTTTGACAGTTCATAATGCTTGCCGCTTCTTCGAGCCACCTTTGATTACTATTTATCCATACTAATAAGTTCTTATTGAAATTCACCCTGAGATCTGTTGTAAATCCACCAAAATCTATGATGAATTTCTATCAATATTGATGAACAAGATTGTTATCACCACACAATAACGATGAAAAATATAAAATAAAGACAATGATTTTCTGCAGAGTTTCTCTCAGCCCACAAACTGTGGAAAACTTCTTATTCACTTGCAACTGTAAATTCTGTGAATACAACTTGATTACAAAAATAGGGGTTACTCTCTCTATTTATAGATTTAGGTTAGTTTGCTCTCTAAGTCAAAATCCAAAACTATAAGAGTCCAAAATACCTATTTTGGAACTAAATCAAATCTAAATCAAATATGTGTTAAACAACTGCTTCAACACTATCTAGACTAACTCGACACACCTTGTGCCAAGCAACATACTGCTTTGACACAAGGAATTATACTTTCAACACACTACCTAATTCATTGTGTCCAAGCTATCTATATTCATCATAACTCTTAGTCTTCGAAATACTTCGACCTGCACATCCTTCGTCATAATGTTTGCAATCTGGTTCTCAGTTCTGCAGTGTTCCATCTTCATCTTCTGTTCTGCTACCTGCTCTCGAAGATAGTGGAATCTCATTTCGATGTGCTTGCTTCAACCATGTGCTATCAGGTTCTTCTCCAGATTGATAGCTAACATGCTGTCGATCTTTATGGTAATTGCTCCATGATCTTTCCCTGTGATTTCTTTGACCAAATTCACCATCCATGTTACTGACATGCACAAAGAGAATCAACTATGTACTCTGCTTCGTACGATGATAATGCCAATACTGATTTCTTCTTCGAACTCCAAGCAACCAGTGCATCACCTAACATAAACACATATTATGCTGTGGATTTTTGATCCTCAGCATCACTACACCAACTTGAATCAGTGTATCCCACCAACATGCATTCTTTTTCTTTATCAATTACAGGAAATAAAATGCCATAGTCAAGAGTTTCTTTCAGATACCTCAATATTCTCTTCGCCGCTGCTAGGTGTGATACCTTTGGCTTCTGCATGAATCTACTCACCATACCTACACTGTATGCTAAGTCAGGCCTTGCGTGACAAAGGTACCTTAGGAATCCAATAAGTTTTCTGTATTGGGTTTGATCGACATCATCTTCTTCTAACTCTTTCGACAGTTGCAACCTTAGTTTAGCAGGTGTCGATGTCGAGTTTCATTCTTCCATCTCAAATATCTTCTTTGATGCATCATCAAATCTCTATTGCTCTTGTAGAATTCGATGTCAAGGAAATATGAAATGTCACCCAGATCCGACATTTCAAATTCCTTGCTGAGATCACCTTTGAAGTCTTCGATCTCCTTCTTGCAGCTACCTGTTATTAACAAGTCATCGACATAAAGACATAGTATAAGCAACTCAGTATTGCTTCTTCTTACATATACTTGAAATAACCGATTGAAATATCATCGAGATAAAATCAATGAAGTCGCCATAAAACATTTTTTATCCCACATAAAGGGAAAGGTAAACATCGAGTAAACTTGATAAGGGTGAAATCAAGGTTAAGCGACCGTGAGATACGAGTAAGAGAGTCAATTACGCGAGGGGAATGTATTAGCACCCGACACGTCCGTAGTACTCTACGGAATCCACTCTTGTTATTTTAATTAAAGGGTATGTTCAAATATACAACTTACGAGTTAAAAAAGAAAATGCAAAGAGGGAATGCATGCAAAAGAAAACACAGGGAAAATAAATAAATATTTACAAAGTTTCGCTCGGCTGAGCCCCATGACCAGAGATGCCTACGTATCCCTTTTAAGGAATCAGGGCTCCGTAGTTCGACTCACATGGTTTTGTGTTTTTTATGAACAATATTAATTTCGCCTTCTGCCGCAGCTCGATCTTTGGAGACTCACGCGTCAACACATAAGTGAATTAACATGTTCTTTTTGAAAGTTTGAAAGAAAAGAAAAGGCCCGAAGGCGAAAAAAGAGTTTGCATTGGTTGATATTTTTTATCTTGAATTTTTTTTTGAAAGTTGTTAGATGTTTTATGCATTTGCCAAGAAAAATGAAGTTTTAGTTTTAAGGATACAAAAGAGAAGAAAACATCTAAGGGAGACTATCCTAAATCTAATGCCTAATATTATCATACAAGGATGTTCCTAAGGTCGAGTTTGAAAGGGAAATCTCTATCTATATTCGCATGCACGAATTGCAATCCTAATGTCTAACTTGCATAGGAAACGACACAAGTGAATCCTAAAGGATCATACAATGGTTCAAAACCTAAGGGAGCATGATATATACAAGGATATAAAGCAAACAAACAATCAACAAGCTCAAGAGAGCACACACATGTCATGAGCAGTACACACTAGCTCAAGTCAAAAGGCCTAACCAAGATATCGAATCATCGAGGTAGGTAAAATGGGGCAAGTTCTTGACCATATATATCTCATCTAGGCAAGAAGGGGTCTTGAAAGCTACTCATAACCAAGGTATCATGTCACCAAGGCAATAAGTATAGAGTGAGGGAACTGAATGTTCAAGGCGACTAAACACCTAACCAAGATATCAAGAATCGAGGTAAGAGATATAAGATAATATGAACAAACACGGAGCATCAACGTCTCTTGATGTGAGCTCAAGACAAAATGTGGGCGATTGATCGCAAATCCATTTTCCATCTGAACGACTCGATAATGAGAGCAACACACTCCAAAGCATCAGTGTACAACGCGAACTAAGGATGACACAAACCGAAATTGCGGGGGTTGATTCCAAACCCTA